GTTTAATCTACATTTATAACATTGATCTGACATGTAATCTTATGTAGAAGTGTTTGAAATATTATTATTTTTGGTCGTATGAGATCCTTTTCCTTTACTTTACATGTTAAAACGAAAATTTTCAAATGTGATTATCTTTTAAAGTACACACTATAATTGATTCATATTTTGAGTGGTGTATAAACATCTAATGTTTTTATAAATTTCAGTTTCAACGTTTTATCCTATTTTTGACATTACGTGACAACCTTGTTAACATGGCAGCGACGGCTTTTCACCAGTAGAGCCTTCTGGGGTTGACGAGTAGCAACCACCAGCATTACTAAGGGAATTGCAAATGGTGACGCGAGGGGTCGCGGGACGTGGAGACTGGGAGAGAGGAGAGACTCATGGACGAGCCACACACGAAGCCTTAGTGGAGGTTTCCAGTCCTCACAGACTGATTTCGACGATTTTCTGTCACCAGCTGCAAAGCCCTTCTCAGGAGGACGTGGTCAGCCGCAGGAGGGAGTGGGAAATGCACCAACTCTTGCATCAAAATGGCGTGCTAATGCAGTGGGGACCCTGAAATACAACGTAGCCTATCTTCCAGCAGAACCAGTGTTGTCAAAATTTCTACCTCTAAACATAACTCTACCTAAGTACAATAATTGTATCATTATTTTTAAAATAATTATTTAAGTTTAAGTAGTTTATTACTAAGATGCATGCAGATTGAACATTAGTTATCGCTCTCTCTTTATTTTGAAATCAATTTGTCCCTCACCTCACAGAAATGTGACTCAGTTCGGCCACGTACAAAAACAATAAAATACCCCAAATGTATTTGAAAAACAAGCAATTAAAACTAGAAACTAGAAAAATGAATAAAGTGAGTCACTTATTGTTGGCTAGTACATATGTTGCAGTATATCAAAGCACTTTCAAGAACACCCAAAAACTGATTGTTTTCATCACAATATCGGAGATTAGGGAATAGTTTTTCACATAACATCGTACTTCTTCCACAAATAACAATGTAAAATCATATAAAGACAAGTTTAATTAAATTCATGAGCAAAATATACCATAATTTAATCATTTTCATCGTACCACAATTATAGCCCCCTTATCTGGCAGAGCAATCATCGCATAGCGCGTTGTTTTACACAGCGAATGTTTGCTCTCTGTCAGTGTTGCCACGTTAGGGATTTTCTCCAAATTAAATGTTTTTTTGCCTCATGGATGTTTTAGGAGGAATTGTTTTGGTAGGGCCGTTTAATATTAATTTTTTTAAAAATAATTATCTATTGTGTATGACAAAATACAAAAACAGCTCCCTATGATTATTGCAGGAATTCAAACTACCATTTCCATTATTTTTCGCTAAGCATTAAAGTACTAAAACTGTAGACAGAAATTCAACAAAATACAAATCCACTGCCTGATGCGGCCGGAAACATACTGAAATTGTTCTAATATTCCTTGCATAATATATTTTTTGTGCCTATCAAATTGTTGCTGCGATACCCGTTATTTCACTGCCTCAATTAGCAGAGGGACAAGTGGTTCCATATCCCGATCTATGTATTCTATTACATAACTGTAAAATGTATATTTATATTTAACATGGGTAATCTTATGATTTTATTATATAGCAGAGGTTCATTGTTGACTAGAAAAGTTAGAACTATCTTGTAGACCAAGACTGATGTCATTATTATAAACCAACGAGAAAGAAATCTATTGGCGATATTGCAGTCACCTCTGATGCTGCTACTTCAAGCGAAAGCCACATGTTTCGGTGAACAACAGCAGTGTTGTCAAATTAATGCTGGTATTCCACCAATATGTTGTCATTTACACTCTAGATTATGAAATAATCTTCCATAGTTCTTTCTACTTATGTGTTATGTTACATACATATTTAAATTAAACAAACAATTTTATAAATTACTTTAATTATCCAATATGTCAGCTGACGGTCATTTGCACCGTCAGCAGGTATTTACAGCACATACGAGTATAGTCTCTCGTATTGAGCGTCAATGAAATACTTTGTTTTCTCTTAACATTGAGGAAGAAAATTAAATCCATCTGCGTGAAGACGTTCCTTTTTTGCGATTGTGAGATCTAATTTGCAATGCGCAATGGATAATATGGTCGCTTGATTGTAAAGGACTTTAAAAAGCTCTGGACAGTTGTCAGAGAAGATTTATGAAATATTTAGAATTTCGAGGTACTAGCAGCTATCCGCCACACAGAATCGATAATGATTACGTGTAAGGGAGTTTGTAGTAGCCATAGCGGATAGAACTATCGATCTTCTACGTATGCGCAGATGCATTAAAGTGATGAGAAACTTAAACTGCGCATGCGCAGAAGATTGATAGCGTTTTAACGTTCAAGGGTGTACAAAATCCCAATTATCAAAATTTAGTCTCGTAATTCTAGGCGATGCAAAGCAATTATCATCGATTGTTTTCGTCAATAAAGTATTGAGAAATATTACGTTTTGTCCACTGATACGTTGAATGATTTCACTGTCGGTTCCGCAATATGCGCATTGTTCTGTGAGCCCACTTTATAATGTCTCAAGTGATAGGTACTCAAGTAACAGCAATTTGTATAAAATGGTCTCAAATATCAACAAATTTATAATTAGTGCTGAAAGTGACATTGATATTTTTGCTGAACCGATAGTGACTTTGTGCAATGCAGCGATGAACTTCATGTACAAAAGATAGTTTAACTCATTTTCTTTTCCTTTTATTATAACCAGTCACTATTAATGTTAATTTGTATTTTAATTAAGTTCATGGTTTTCATTTACTTGGTTGCTGCAATACTTCAATAATTTAAGGCTAAAGCGCGCTCTGGAAAACATTGATATGAAAACTTATAGCTGTTTTCATACATTTTTATGTAGTATCCTGCGCAACCATTACTAGTAACAAAACCATATATTAAAATCTGGAATTAACTACATTGAAATTCACCAAAGGTGGAATTGTAATTAAATATTAAAAATATACATTAGATACGTAAAATTATCATCTTCTCTAAAATATACATTATTGCTGTCATATATTGTTTTTGCTTCTATTTGTGCAATTATATGCCACACACGAGGGGGCATTTTAACATCGCACTCCTACAAACTAAAACAAAAAACATTGAAAAAAAGCACTTGTAAGAACTGGTTGTTTTATGCGCATGTCTTCTTGAGCCCCGAAAATACCTACCCCTACTTCCAAAACTAACGTCTGTTGAATTAAAAGTAAATTATAGCAACGAACGAGCATTGTTGACAAAATCTGGTAAGCAGATAATTCACTTTTCGTATAATAAATTTTTCATCAACAAACGAGCTAGTTCATATTTAAAATATGCCAAAAAGCCCTGTTGTCAAAAAACCCAACACCCCATTCTGACATATAGTGAAATGAGAGCTCAACAAAACGAGCGGCTCAAGAGGCATGAAAATATGAGTGTTGAAGACAACAGGCAATAGACTGTTTTGGGAACAAAAAACATGGTGATCAGAAGTGAAAAGTGCGTATTTTATAAATCTATAATATTCAAGCTCATTGGTATAAAGTCTTCTGCGACAAAAGAAAAATATTTGAAACAAACAAGGGTTATTGCTATGTACATCGTAAGATTCCCATCGATTGTAATCACAGATATAATATTAAATTGATAAATACGCACTAGCTTTATAATCGTCTTTAATATTTTGGTGTACTTATTACTTTTAAATCAGCCCTTTTCCCAGAATTTCACTGTGATATTAAAATTAATACTTACAATTACTTGTTTTTTTATTAAAATCGTACTTATTACTTGTTTATACAATTTATTATTCTGTAGTCACAAAATGGGTATACTTGTGGCGTAACACAAAGCTGATAACTAACTGAAACAGAGAGTATATAAACTAACTGAAATGTCAACCAACAGGAAAGTGTTGATCCAGTCAACAGGTCCGTTGCAATATAAATTGTGAAGCCTCAGCATGGATTTCTTGAAGATTTACACTGTAGAAAATAAAGACTTGAAAATGTTGCTGCTCATACTCTGGATGCAAGTTGCCAAAAACTCGCCTAACAATGTCGGTGGATTGTATATTACTGAAAGAATTCCAGGAAATGTGTGTCAACGATGTCTTGGAAATTATATATAATTACGCGATATATTTACTCTCAGCGCTTTGAGTTCTTTGATGTTTTTATGCTTTCCCTTGCTATTGGTATTTCAGTGTTTTCCTGTGTTTATGGCTTGTATTTGAAGATACCTCTCACGAATCCAGGCAAAGATTCTGCAAATTGCTTTTGTGATATCTAGAAGGAAGTGAATCCACACTATTTGTTTACAACTCGCGTTTCAAAACTTGAAATGTTAGTTGGAATAATTATGGTACTCATCATAGATGCAAGGCAAAAATTGGAACGATGGTAATGATTTTAATGTAATAAAAGGTACATATTTAATTCAATACGTCATTATACATTGCTATAATGCTTTCGAATCGAATTATACATTTCTTTAAAGGATACAGAATATTTATTTTTGGAGTCGAATGTTTTTAATAGGAAACGTGTGTTAAGACGCTTTGTTGGTATTACACAACTTTTTAGTGCGCCATTGAATTATTACTATCTTATATTTCAATACAGGTTTACGTGTACATTACATTTAGTGAACGAAATCTATTGATTGATCGTCTGGAATTCTGTGTAATTGAAATTTCATTTCATTGTTTTCAGGTTTTATTTTCGTGAAGAAATCACGAATGTGTTGATAAACACGCTTCTTCATACAACGATGCCTACATCACCTAATTTTGAATCGTTGGATTATAACTAGATATATTTCATTTAGTTCGTTCCCGAAATTTATAATTTTGTGTTTAAATACGCTCCAACGACAGTTATTGACGTCTCATTTGTGTCTGTACTTACATAATAATCTGAATGTTATAAGTGAATATTAATTTTGTTTGAAGAACGGGACATGAAATGACCGAAACACGTAAGCGAGTGAAAGTGTATGTGCTTAATTCAGAAAGACAATGGCAAGACAGGGGAACTGGTTACGTTTCAACGCCTTATGTAAAACAACTAAAAGGTATTTCATTAACAGTAGTATCTGAAATCGATGGAAATCAATTATTGCAAGTCAAAATACACCCACACGTTGCTTATCAAAAGCAACAGGACACTCTAATAGTGTGGTCTGAAAACAAAGATCTTGATTTGGCTTTAAGTTTTCAAGAGAAACCGAGTTGTGAAGAAGTGTGGAAGATAATCTGTCAGCTTCAGGGCAAGGACAGTTCTGTTGACGTTACACAGGAAATTGTTGAAGAGTCTGAAGACGATAAGTTTGGATTCTTGTCAGATTCATTTCCAGATATTGACTTACCATTTTGTGAATTGTGCAGTTTGAAAGACATTAGTGAAGTAATTGCTTCCAATATGCAAATACCTGTGAGAAGAGAAAAGTTAGCTGCTGTGATTGATAATGATGGTTATATAGAAAAATTGCTCACTCTATTCCGTGAATGTGAAGATTTAGAATACACAGAAGGTCTCCAATATTTGCATGGCATCTTTAATAATATATTTCTTTTAAACAAAAGTAATTTGTGTGAGGAGATGCTGCAAGAATCAAATATTCTGGATGTAATAGGATGTTTAGAATATGACTCTAATTCTTCATCTCCTAAACGGTATAGACAAACTTTGAAAGATCTCACCAACTACAAAAATGTTATACCAATAACAAATCCTGAACTTCTGAACAAAATTCATCATACTTATCGAATTCAGTTTATACAAGATATCATTCTACCCATACCACCAATTACAGAAAATAATATGTTTTCTGCAATATCAAACATGCTTCTCGTCAATAAAATGGATATTGTAACATGGATACAGAATGATGATGCTGTTCTTTGCCAGTTGTTTACATTGCTCAATGACAAAACAACTGATAAACTCAAAAAGCGAGATCTCATTTTGTTTCTGAGGGAACTGTTTATTTTTGCTCAGTGCTTGCAATCTACAGAAAGAGAATCATTCTGTAAAATACTGACAGCATCTGGAATTTTTCAGACTTTTGAAACCAATTTTGACAATGATGACACTCGTTCCAGAACTGCATTAGTAGATATTCTCAATTGTTTTGTGGAATATTCCCCTTCAACAGTGCGGGAGTACATTATTCGAAAGAATGGCAGTGACGACCTTACTTTTATGAATGTTTTGACTTCTTTAGTAATTCACGACAAGGATGTTGAATTGGGTGGAGCTTCCCAGATTTTCTGCATTTTAAAAACGTTGTTAGATCCTGAAAATATGCTACTGTCAGGAAATTATTGTGAAAAGAGTGAGTTTCTCCGGTTCTTTTATCACAAAAGTGCAAATATTCTCTTCGGACCACTTTTGAATTGCAATATAAACGATCCTCCTCCAAAAACTGATTACCGGACGCAGCAACTATTAGGATTAATAGTGGATTTTTTGTCGTATTGTGTAGAAAATCATACATATCACATTCAAAATTTCATAATAGATAATGATTTGTTGAAAAAGGCATTAACCCTCATGAAGTCGGAGCATATGTTCGTGGCTTTGGGAGCTCTGAAATTGTTGAGAAAAATCGTCGGTCAGTTGGATGAAACATACAACAACTATGTTATAAAAGGAAATCTTGTTGCTCCAGTAGTGGAATCGTTAATAAAAATTAAGAGAAATAACATTCTCTGTTCGGCGATTCTGGAGATGTTTCATTTCATAAACGTGGAGGGATCACGAAGAATCTGTATGTACGTGGTGGATAATTTTTGGCATGTACTGAAGGAGTTACATTACACCAAAATTTTCGCGAGTTTAAAAATGCGATCAGATTCATACAGAGAAGCATCGAAGGAAAAAGAGAAAACCTCGTCGGAAACGCCCCAAAATACTTCCTCTAGTCGTTACAGGCGCGATGAACGGGACCTGGAAGAGGAAGAAGAAAAATGGTTTGACACGGATGAAGTGGAGGAATCAAACTCAACAAGAAATGAAAGAGATGACGATGGAGAAGAACCTTTACTAGAGAAGAAAACTAGTGAAGAAAGTAAGGATAATAAAGAAAATACGTTACAGGAGAAGAAAAATGACAAGGAACCAGACAGAACGAGTTCCTCTGTAAAACCACATCCTATTACGTCAGGTAAATTGTTGTGCAAAAGAGCTTTGGTGGACTACGAAGGAGATTCTGACGACGAAGATGAAGATTCACCTCCCATCAAGCGCAACAAGTTGTCTTAATCTGTTTCAATGAGCCATTCATGCAGTATACAGACCTGTAGTAATCCACAGTTCAAAATAGTGTTGTTTGTTTCTGCGATGCAATTTTTATAAAGGTGTGAAAAATTTACTTTCTTTCATATCAGTTTTATGAATTTTCTCGCACATTCCAATAGATTCTAGTTTAAAGGGATAATAATTGTTTATTGTCTTTAATGACTGATTATCACTGTTGATATTCGTTTTTAACAGAAAAAACACATTGCAGATGAGTTTTGTATGTCTCATAAAAGTTCATAACATATTTGAATTCTATTTTTCATAGGTGAGAAAATGTAGTTTGTCACTTTCATTTCATAAAGTATGTTATTGTTAGTGGTGTAGTGAGGAGTGATAATAAATACTTGTATTATATGAAAATTGATGAAATACTTTCTAGGAACACAACTTTCAGGTACAGTGAATGTGTAAAGTGTGATATTTTGATTTGTAAGTTTGTAGTGGCATTGTCAGTGCGACTCTTCACTAATCTGAACTGGCACCTATAAAGTTTGTCTTCGTTTAATAATTATAAATGTATTTGTTAAATGTATGCATGTGCTCATTAGTGTGAATTGAAATGTTTCAAACATTTTAATTTTCTCTAACAATTTACAAAAATAGGTATTAATGTGAAATGCGCGAGACTCGAAAATCAGTAAAAATTCTGATAAATAATATCTTATATGTATTTTATTAAGTACTGGTGTATAATTTTATTACCACGTTTTAAAAATACGATAATTAAAATTGACTTTCACTAAAATTGTGTATTCCTCATTAATTACAGAAAAATCATAACTAGAATACTGAATAAAACTCTGAACGGCTTTAACACGGAAATTAATGTAAGATTTTGAGGCCATCTGAAGAGTAATACTACTGGAATACAATATTATATTATTTTACTTAATTGAAAACTTAATTAATTCCATAACTTCATCGAAGATCATTATTTCACATTAAAATAAATCCAGTAGAAATAAAAAAGTCTCGTTTATTGTGATTGTCTAATCTTTAATGAAATTCTTTTGTTTTACTTCAAGTCGAACACCCGTTACAGGTGTCAATATATAGACGCAACGCGTCTCCCAGCTCCTTAAGGAGGGTTGGGGGCACCGTGGAGTAATCCTCTGTTATTAATCACCCAGAACCCTCTGAAGATGCTGAGTAGTCAAATCCCGTCAGTCGCAGTCATGTCAGACAACCGCCAATCGGCAGTATGTCCGCGCTCGCGTCCTACGTCATCTACCCATCGACCAGAATTAGAAAGGAATAATGATAGGTGTAAGGTTAGGACTCTTCACTGGGCTTGGACTAGCCCCTGTGAAGCATGCAAAGTAGTTTTGTCATAACAAATTCCACATGTTCTACGGGAATCGAACTCGGAACCTCAGTGACGAAAGGCAAGCCCCGAAAACATATGACAGTCGCGATTCCAATGTTTTCAAAACACCATTACTTTTGTACAACTTTCGTTACTGTAACATTTATTTATTGAAGCTGATATTTTTTAATAAGTGTTTGGCTCTTATTGTTTTCACCTTGTCCATGATTAATATTTGAATGAAAAAGTGCCATGTAATACAAAATCTTTCATAATTTTCACATAACATTAAATTGAATATTCTTTCATACAAAAGTGCTCAATTTTAAAGTCTGAGAAGAAAAAAAATCTACTTTCGAGACGAGTCACACTGGTAAAAGAGTAAAGTCATCTCGATCTCAATCTAACAATAATACTAGTTTATGCAATTGGTTTATAATGTTAATCTTGTGGACATCTGTGCGACAAAACGTTGGGCGGCTGTTCCGTTTACCTTTACCTCCCCACCCTGCGATTGCTTGAACGTGTGAAGACGCAACCATCTGTGCGTAGGGACGTTCGATTCCTGTAACGAATCGATTCCCTAAGGAATCGAATCAAATGAGAACACCAGAAAGTTTGTACCGCCTCGAAAGTTAAAGCACTATCAATCTTCTGCTGATGCGCAGTTCAAGTTGTCTACGATGTTTATATTTGTTGCGGGCATGCACAGGTGCACATTCCAACTCGGGTTCGTTGACTGGCGTGGAGTGCTAGAAAAGAGGGGAGGGGTGGGGGAGGAGCCTCTCACTACCCTAGACATGCTATTGTTCGGAGAGGGTTCAAGCCATAGAGTAGAAATATATTGTATCCCTCCTCTATGGTTCAAGCACAGTTCAAGTTTCGTACCATTTTAGTACATTGCACATGCGGAGAAGATCGATAGTGCAGTCGCTATGGCGTGCACAAGCTCCCCACCGTTGAACGAAGGTAGCGATACCGGAATCGAGCAATTGCTATCTAATAAAACACAACCAGGGTTTTAATAACAATAATATTTAACTACGTGGCAAAAAAATATTATTGATGAAATAATACAATTGAAATACAGTAATAGAACGTGTCAGGTAAACAATGTGTTAATAAACATAAATGAAAGATATAACAACAACGGATTCAAAGAAACACAACTTCATACAATGCGATGCAGACAGGATTTTTTTTTAAACTGAAATGCTAAAATTGTAGTTTGAACAAAGAGGTTTGTTTTTTAAGCAAGCGGAAGCTGGAGGCTTGGGGTGGGGATTGAATTCAAACACGACATGGACTTCTATAAAATTAATAATAAAGGCAAACGACAGAAAACTGAAGAATACCACAAAAGCGCAGGAATATGCTTATTTTTTTAAAAAGAATCGAAGGAATTCAGTTAATACGATTCCAGCAATTTAGAATCGATTCTATCAAGAATTAGAAGCAAAGGAATCGAATACCAATTCCCAAGGATTCGAAAAAAAAAAAGAATCGGAACGTGCCTATTCGTGCCGTAAAATGCCTGATTATGAACGATTTCTTGAAAAGGTCGTTTAGAATGCTGGTATAAAAAAAGGCGTAGTGGTATTTGTCATTCTTTGGTTTCGATTTGCCGATTAATTTTTCATTGTTATTTTTAAACGAAACTTCTGTAAAATCAGTCCAGGGAATAGAGCATGTGGATTGGCGTTCCGTGACAAAATCAAAACACTTTACAACAAAGGATTCTTGAAGTGATAAAAATTACATTTCATCGATAGCCCCAAAATAGGTTAATCAGAGTAAAGATACTAAAAACGACAGAAATTTGTCTGAATTACTGAAAACTATATTATTTGATCATTTAATTCTTTAGTAAAATTCAAACGAATAAACTACTCTCAAATTTGATCACTAAACACTAAAATTATGACAAAAAGTCAGCAATAATTCGTAACATTTTTTCTTTCATGCAACGGTTAAAGCAAGAATTATATATGTTGTAAGAAATGGAATATGAGCACTCGAAATTATGAATTTAGCACGTCTTGAATTTGTATTATATTGTATCATATAGTATATAAATGCTTACAATTTTAATATTACCGGAAGAAGTCAGGCATACTACATTTATTTTCTCTGTGTATATATTCAAACTAAAAAATTTGGAAGTCAGCAATTCCATAACCTGACTAAAATTCCAAAATTTTCAGAATAATCAGAATTTTCAAAAATTAGAAATTCCAATTCTACGATTCCATTTAGGTTGGCTTCCAAATTGAAAATCCATCCGATAATGTAATAGTTCACATTTTGTCAGTACGACAAAAACGAACGGTAAGATTATTCTGAGAACTGACAATAATAAGCTTAATGTTAATCAACATTGCTTTCGTTTTAATTTTCCGAGAAGGCTTTTCTTCCAAAAACCTGGCTAGTTATTTCGTGGAATTTCAAATTGTAAGTACAATCTATTTTATAAAGTAGTAGTAATGTTAAACGGATAAAGGCTCTGCCCTCTAAATACGGTAAAAATAGCATTGAATACCTGGAAAAGTCGCGGGTGCGTTAATTTTGAACATTTCATCGCCAGCCGAGGGTAACGCAGGAAGGGTTGACGGCTGAAGGCCGCGCAAAAATCTCGCGGGCGGCAGTGCGTTAAATTCTACGTCCGACGGCTGAAGATAAATTTTGCAGCAGCAGTTCAGGATTCGTGGAATGCTGCGGGGCCGCATAATCCGGGCTTCGGGGTGAGTCGGCCCCACGACAAAGTCGCAGGTGCCCGCGCGCGGGCCCGTCGCGAAGTTCTCTGGGCGTAAGCACATTTCCAGGCGTTCTGCCGCCGCCGCCGCCGTCGCGCCGCCCGTGGAAAAGTTATTTCCTGCAGGGCCTCTTCCGTCGCACGGACCGAGCGACGCGACGCAGCCAGGCGACCGAAGCCGGTGGGACGGAGCGGGGTAGAACAGGGACGTTCCGATTCAACCGATTCGATTCCGGAACCGAATCTTTTCTTTTGATTCTTGTGGAATCGGTTTTCAATTCCTTTGCTTCCGATTCTTGATGGAATCGGTTCCAAAAGGCCGGAATCGTATCATATGAATACCTTTTAAAATGTCTATATTCTGGCGCTTTTTTTGTATTTTTCAATGTTTTGTCACTTGTCTTTTTTATTAATGTAGTTATTACTTTATTATTAATTTGATAGAAGTTATTGTTTTGAATTCTACCTCTCACCATGCCTCCACCTTGCATTTCGTTCAAATCAAACCTCTTGATTCAATTTACAGTTTTAGCATTTCAATTCAAAACAAACAAACAAAAATTATTGTCTGTGTCGCGTTGTATCGAGTTGTGTTGTTTCTTTGAACCCGTTACAATTTTGTTGATTAGTTCATGTTATTGTTGATTCAATATATTTTGCATTTATGTTCTATTAATATATTGTTTCATTGATACATTCTATTACTTTATTTCTACTGAATTGGGCAGCACGATGAGACGGAACGCAGTGAGATGGGACACCGTGGTGGGACGCGTCGGAGCGGTTTAGGATAGACGATGAGAGGCGGATCGGAGCGGGATTGGACAGAGCGTGGTGGAATGGGAAAGGGATGCAGCTGGCCAGTGACCTAATGTGCGACGAGAGGAAGCGAAGAGAGGGGGT